CTACCAGATGACAAGAAACAGAGCTGGCCAAATTCAACAAACTGGACAGAAAATAGATGGAAAGAATTTAATTGGACCCAGAACAGTTACCAAAAAAAAAAAGACGTGTTCATGACCATAACAGCAATTACAACCATTTATCATATCGGGAACATTGTTCCCTGATGCCAGGAGTACCTCCTGAACAGCATGGGCATGGTTTGTGTTTGGGAGATGCTGCTAGCACAGGGGTGGGCAAAATGTGGCCTGTGGGCTGGATGCAGCCCACCAGGCCGTTCTATCTGGCCCGTGGGGCCCCTAAAAAATTAATATTTATCTGTCCCTGGCTGCCTGTCATGCGGCCCTCGATGGCTTGCCAAAACTCAGTAAGCGGCCCTCCACCCAAAATAATTGCCCCTGTGCTAGCACATTTTTACATGAAGCTACTGGGGGTTTCCTGGAGCCCTTCAGATGCTTGGCTCTGCTTTGTATTTGAATCTGACAGAGATCAGGCAGGGGGAGAGTGCACTTTTGGGCCTCAGAGGCCTTACTTCTATTAACTGCTGGGGCCATGGACAAGTCATTTTCCTGTTGCGCTCTTCTTTTCTTTCTTGCCCTTTCTGCTTGCTTTAGACCTTCAGGGCTATCACCACCATTTGCCTTGTGTTTGCACAGTGCTCAGTACAGTAGGCTGTGAGCCTGGAAGGGGCCTTAATGGACTTTTCTAACTCAATAAATGGGTATGTGGGTTGGGGGAGCCCCATTCCCTTCAACCACTGCAGAGTAAGATGCTCTTGACTGCCACAAATCAGTTAGCTCTCCAGCTCTTGGGAAGGCAACTCACCCTCAAAACAGACATTGAGACTCATTGGGCAAGAATTAAAAACAGATTAATTCTTCCCTGAGTACTCACATACTCGCAGAGTATTTGAACTGAAATCTATGATCTCCTGCATCCTTACTGTGTGCGCTGAGTGCACAGAACTATTTCTTCCAAGAGCGAGAGAAGGCCTTTCTAAGCAAGGTGGCAGTTAGCTGCAGGGGCAGGCTTGGGGGGAAACCCTATTTGGAATGCAGGTGCATAACTGTGAGAACATCATCCCACTCAGCATTTCTATTGCTGCCTTAGCACATGGGCACGCTGAGGGCTGAGCTATTACAAGTTAGCTTTCATTTGCTGTTGGCTAAGACCAGGTGCCTGGGCATCCCTGGCATAGCTGATGCCCCACTCCCTTGGGGCTCTGTTGCGTACCTGGGCCCTTTGGCAGTAACCTGTGTAGCAGACCAGCTTTTATGCCTCTTGTTTGGGGGCATCTACCTTGCCCTAGGCACTGGATGGGGAGCTGAGGGCTCTAAAGCCTGGTCAACACTACAAAGATTTGCTGGCAGAGTGAGGTTAGTTCAGGGTGTAGGAAGGGATGGGCCAACACTGGGTTGGATGCAGCTGTGCCAACAGAGAGGGCTTCTGTAGTTTGAGGAGGTGGTTCAGCCAGGCTGGCAGAAAACTCTACTGCTGCCATAATACAAGTCTCCACCCGAGGGCACTGCCCACACGGGCATGTAGTCCTCTCAGTGCAATGTAGCCAAGTCCCTTTTGCAGATCTAGCTGGCTGTGGTGAGCTGCTCAGGGTGTCTGCTTGAGGGCATAGCCTGAACTGCCATCTGATACCCAAGTAGCTTTACTGACAAAATTGGGATGGCCCTAGAGTGGCATCTGAGCAGGCAGGGTGAGGGTCTAGATTTTTGGTTTTGGATGCCTACAGAATCAATGGAGACAGATACGGGCACCTTGGCTGTTTGTATATTAGAAATAAATAAAATTTGGCCCAGCAGGGCTGGCGATTAAGCTTTTGCTTAGCAGAGGTACCTATAGGAACCAGAGCCAAAGAAAGCTGCTCACCTCAATGATTCCTGTGCCCTAGTCGAGAGGTTTTTTTGTTTTTTTGTTTTTGTTTTTTGCGGGGGGAGTCATGAGATCCTCTAAGGACTGCACAGCTGACCATTAGCTCATTTTACATGGAAAAGAAAACAGCTGTGTGTTACAAGCCAAGCCCCCATTTACCTTTCCTGGAGCTGAAAGGCTTGTGGCCATGCTGCTATAACATAGGATGACCACCTGTCTAACGGGGGAGGGGGAGGAACGGTCCTGGGCTGCATGACTCTGGGACAGCATTGTCTCCAATTTGCAGCATCATGCAGGGATCCAGGTTTCCCCTTGCAGGCTAGCAGCATTCCAGCCTGCAAGGAGCTGTTGGAAGCAGGTTGCAGGGGGTGTCCCGTGCACTTGCGTGCCCATGAAAGAACCAGGCAGTTCCCTGCAGGTCAGTCTATGGGGTGTGTGTGTGTGTGTGTGTGTGTGTGGGGTGGGGTGTGTGTGTGTGTGTGGGGGTGTGTGTGTGGGGCAGATAGAGCGTACCCATCCCCAACAGTGAAGGAGAGAGTAAGGCAGGGAGTGGAGCAGGGGGCATGGCTTAGTTAGGGTGGTGCATGGGGCCCCAGGGTGGGCAGTGGAGTGGGACAGAGCCACAGGTGGCTTGTCCATGGGGTGCAGGAGAGGGTGGCTGGCCACCACTGCACCCCCCCCCCCCCCCCCCAAGGGGGCCATATCTGCACCTCACCCCCGACCCCCAATCAGCTCTGCTCTGGCTATGCCATGCAATGCGGGGGTGGGGGGGAGGGGAAGGGAAGCAGGCACCTTTACATTTTAAAAAGGAGGTCACCCTAGCATAATATTAACTGGCACCTTTCTTGGCAGAAGGACCTTGAGCAAAAAGGCCAAAAGCTGAGCCACCCTTGGCCAGTCAGTCACAGGTGGGTTGTGCCATGGGAAGCACAGGGAATGCAGACTACAGGGAATCATGGCTTTCCCTGCTCTCAAGTCACAAATGGGCAAAATAGGGTAAGGCTGAGCCAGGGCCCCTGCCATGTCAGATCTGTTGCCACTCAGACAAACAACACCAGGTGCATGAGCTGATGCTCTTAGTTGTCACCAGGCTCCATTTGCATAAAGTCCTGGGTCAAGACATATTCCAGTATCTTAGCATCAAGGTATCACTGTCTCCACTGTCTTTTCCTTGGGTTACTCTAATCCGATTAGGCTAGTGACAGAAATTACACATAAACTGGTATAAGTGATTGGAAACTGGTTCAAATCGGTAACACAACAGATCTTCTGGAAGGGCTAGACGTTTTTAAATCTGCAGGTCCAGATGCCCTCCACCCAAGGGTATTGAGGGAGCTGGCAGGGGTAATCACGGAGCCCTTGGCCCAGCTGTATGAGCATTCATGGTCATCTGGCCAGGGGCCGGGGGATTGGAAACTGGCTAATGTGGTCCCAATTTTCAAGGAAGGAGGACCCAAGTAACTATAGGCCTGTAAGCTTCACCTTGGTGCATGGGAAGACCTTGGAGAAAATCATCAAGCACAGCTGTGGGGGGCCTGCAGGGGAGATCATGCTCAGGGGCAATCAGCATGGGTTCATCAAAGGCAGGTCCTGCCAGACCAACCTGATTGCCTTTTACGACCAAGTAACTAAATCCTTGGATGATGGTGTCGCTGTGGACATAGTCTTTCTAGACTTTAAGAAGGCCTTTGACACTGTCTCTCACCCCATCCTCATCAATAAATTAAGGGACTGTGGCATTGATGCCTACACGGATGGGTAAAAAATTGGCTGATGGGGCGCACCCAGAGAGTAGTGGTGGACGGGCTGTGCTCAACCTGGTGAGATATGAGCAGTGGGGTACCCCAGGGCTCAGCCCTCAGGCTCACACTGTTTAACATCTTCATCAGCGACTTGGACGAGGGGGTGGAAAGCACGCTGTCCAAGTTTGCTGATGACACTAAGATGTGGGGCGAGGTGGACACACTTGAAGGGAGAGAGAGGCTGCAACTAGATTTAAACAGACTACAAAAGTGGGCAGACAAGAATAGGATGGGGTTCAACGTAGACGAATGCAGGGTGCTGCACCTTGGGAGAAGGAATCCACACCATACATACAGGCTGGGGAGTTCCCTTCTTGAACGTACAAAGACAGAAAGGGATCCTGGAGTCATTATTGACTCCAAGATGAACATGAGCCGCCAATGCCAGACCGCAGCCAGCAAGGCCAGCCTTACCTTGTCATGCATCCAAAGGTGCATCTCAAGCCGGTCCAGAGAGGTGATACTCCCCCTCTATGCGACTTTGGTCAGGCCGCAGTTGGAGTACTGCGTCCAGTACTGGGCGCCACACTTCAAAAGGGATGTGGCCAGCCTGGAGAGGGTTCAGAGGGCCACGCACTTGATGAGAGGGCAGGAGGACAGGACCTATGAGGAGAGACTGAGGGACCTGAACCTGTTCAGCCTCGGCAAGAGGAGGCTGAGGGGGGACCTGGTGGCTGCCTACAAGCTCATCAGGGGAGATCAAGAGCAAATAGGCAAATAGGGGGGCAGCTGGAGACAGGGCCTGCGCCACTGAAAGGCGACCACTGCAAGGGACTAGTAGCCAGTTATTAAGCAAGCAAGTGGCAGCAGCCAGGGAAAGGTGACAGACAGGAAAAATGAAATACAGTAGCAGTGTCTGTGATCTTTTCCCCCCTACATTTTTAGGTAATTTCCTTGCAACAGCAACCCCTTGTCCTCTCTTGTGCAGTGCCATGTTCCATGGGACTTGTAGTTTCTTCCCCCTCTTGCGGTAGTCAGGAATACCATACTGTAAGGCTCCCAAAAGACCAGTGAGATTACAAGAGTGCCTTGGCTGTAAAATGTGCAGAACATGTGGCACAATGGTCCCTCCCGCGCACATCTCCACTCATTCTTTCTGCTCCAGGACCTCCCAGGGTTGATCCCCCACTTTCTTCCCTTCCCTCCCTCACGTGAACAGGAGCTGAAAGATCATAATCTGGGCAAGATTAGAGTTTAAAGATCGCCTGGGCAGCTGTGATCGGAGGAGCTTTGTACTGCTGTGTTGGTGCTCTGCGCTCGCATCCAGAGTGTGCAGATAACAGTGCCCTCTGCTGCCCAAGTGCTGCCCGCAGGTTTAGCCAGGTATGCTCCTGCCTTGAGCAGGAAGCTGGACTAAGATGCCTTTGTGAGGTTCTTGCCAGCCTGACTTTCCCATGACTCTAACTGCTGCTATCTCAGTGCAGAGCCTGGTCTCTCTTCCCCCACCTGTAGCTTCCAGAGTTGGCAGATCAGGGTGGAGATAGCAACTTGGGGAACTGAATAAAATGCAAAAGGCTTGCATGGTTGGGGAGACTGCAGCTGAACTGATGGCTGGTGAGTAAAGCTTTGTGCTTGATGCTTCTGTTGATAACAAGTTGCACAGGGTTTTTTGGTGTACTACTGTGCCTTGGTGCAGAGACCCTCTTCCCCCATGCTGTTTGCTATAGGAGACTGAAGCACCCGTCTCTCACCATGAAAGCACTAAGCTTTGCTTCCAGGAAAAGCAAGAACTCTTATAAACTCAAGGGAGGAGCCCACTACCCTTTTCAAGCCACGAGCAAGTAGTCTAGTCCCTATTTGGTGGGCAACACCTTTGTACCTCCACCAGAACCACGCAGCTGGGAGATGTACCTGCACCCCTGCTGCTTCTTCCAGCCCCCTGCTCCCTGGCTGTGAGGCAAAAACAGCTTCAGGCAGAGGGGAGCTGCACCAGTGCTGTGGACCTGGAAGTTGTTTTCATGCCGCAGCAGGTCCTCTGGGCCCCACCTCCCCCAGCCTGGCAGGGCTGCTTTGAAGCTGTGCTCACACCCCAACTGGGGAAGGGGGGGGGGAGAAGTGGCAGTGGCATGCGCACAGCTTCCAGCTCCCTGGCTTGGGTGCAACTCCAGATCCAATGGCTCTGAACACCTCTATGTGCAGCTGACACTTGCTCTGAGGAGCTGCAGGCATGAGCCTGTCTCCCCTCCATTCCCTCTGCATATCTTCACTGAAGTGTCTTGTGTCCCTCAAAGCCTCACTTACATCTTCATCCATCCAGGCCCTCTTACTGGTCTCTGAAGCAACTGAAGTGTCAGAAAGACTGGAAGGTCCTTTACCATAGTTTTACCAGGTAAATCGCATACTGTATGATAGGAGTCGGGTCTTTGATTATTATTTGGCTAGAGCAGTGGTCCTCAATCGTGTTAGACTTCATGGCTCCCCTTAGCTTTCACTCATTTTTTTTGACTAGAGAAAAAATAATAAAGCAATTCTTCTGTTGCAAAGAACTCTGAAATACTACAACAGGTCAGAATCGTTTTAACCCTATGAGTGATTCCTATTTGAAATCTCTGGGTTTCTCTTGTGAATCCTGTTTGCACACCTAACAGTAGGGCTAGGGACAGAAGTGACATGTAAACCAGTTTAAATAATCAGAAACTGGTTTAAATCTATACAAATTCAGTACATATAAACCAGTTTCAGAACAGATGAAACTGGTTTAAGATAAACCTGGTTGAATGTAGTATCAGACTTAACTGGTTTGGTTCAAACCAGTTTATGAAGCTTCTGTCCCAGACCACTTTCTGGTTCAAGTTAAATCACAGTCCCTCAGCATCCCAGCATGCTTTCCAGCCCTGGACTGTGATGTGCTGTTTGCTCCAGCAGAGAAGGGTTAGGGGAAGGGGAGTCAGGGACTGCCTCCACCCCAGGCAAACTGCGCTTCCCCTGAGTACGGAGCTGCCCTGCCCTGCCCTGCTGAAAACTTACTGCTGGCTGCAACTGCAGACTACAAGTCCTAGAGGCACCTGGAAGTAGCAAGAGGAAGTGATGAGCAACCCTGCAGAGTCCTGCTGCTGATGTAATTCCGGACTGCATATCCCAGAGACCTTGAGGGCAGCAGGAAAAGGAAGCAAACACACAGCCCATACTGGCTATGTGCCAGAGCCATGCACCAGCACCGCTCCCACCCCCCGTCGGGCTTCTGTCCAGAGCCACTGCAAGTATGTGGCTGCATTTCCTGAATCAAAAGCGTGTTCAGTTTTCTCAGTTTAATCTCTGCCTCTTAGACTAACCTGCAAAGACAGAATCGATTCAGCCACAGGCTTTTTGACTGTCTGTGCTTAGCCTGGGTGGCACTTTGCGGCATCCTTGAAAGGATCTCATGGCACCCTCAGCTGAGAATCACCAGGATAGAGGAATCCTAAGAAACGAGAGATGAAGCAAAAAACTTAAAGAGTATTTAAAAAATGTTTCATCTGCAAAACAAACAAACAAACAAAAACAAGTACATTATAAAAAGAAATACAATGAAAATTCAGTTCAATGAATTATTGTCTGAAAATTTGAAGCCTAATCCATTAAAGGCATTTAATTTAAGTGCAAATCTCAACACAGCCTGAAGTATGGCATAACTAACTCTTCTACTGTACATCACTGTGTATTCACATCCTCCATGAACAAAATGACCAGGGATCCTGGTTTTCTTCATTTAAAAATTGCAAATTCTCCAGTTACAACACACCTAAATCTGCATTTTTCTAGATGAAAATGAAACACCACTATCTATTGAACATATTTTATTGATATAGTTACAATTTTAAAGCAATTTGGAAGCCTACCAGTGCCTCAATCACTATAATAAATTCTAAATACCTATCAATGGTGGCACTTGATTTTCGGTTTATCATGGAAAAATCAGAGCTCCCCCTGCCCCCTTCACTCACCAGGACGGGTCCAGCTGCAGCTGTTCCCTGCACCACTGCTTTATGGTGCTGAGCAGCCTGATATGTTGGTGCTCTCTGCCCATGCCCCTCACTCCCAAGCCACAGCACCCCAGCCATACCAGTGCCCCTCATTCCTGACCTACAGCCCCCTGGGCCCTGCTGGTGCCCCTCACTCCCCACCCACATCCCCCCACCTCTCTTCCAGGCCTGCCAGAGGGCCCCAGCTGTCAGGGTTATGAGGCCAGGGACCCAGGTCCACAACCCCGCCCCGAGGGAGGTGGCTTGGGTGCTGTTGGAGAGGCAGGGGGCTGCGGACCCAGGTCCCTGGCCCACATCTGCCTCTACCCCATGCACAAATCTCCATATGCCCCCCATGCCCTCCCAGGAGTACGCAGTGGCAAGTAGTCAGAACCCTCTACCGCCCGCCCCCCGGCTCTGTCCTGCTCCCTGCCCAGGCCCTACAGCCACGCATTCCCTCCCTAGCCCTGGACCCAAGCACCACTGTCCACCTGGACAGTGCCCCCAGTCTGGCACAACTCCCTCCTGCTCACTCTCACTATGGGGGGGCCTCAATCCCCACTCACTCCCCCTCCCACTCCGACTTACCTGTGGGGAGCTGCGGGAGGTGCTCTCTATGCTGCCTGATCACCTCCTCCTGCTCCCCCCCAGCCCCTTGCAGGCTGGAACTCTGCCACTCTTCAAGGGGAAACCCGCCGCTTCTCATGTTTTTTCTCCTTTAAAGGAGAAATCAGCCTGTTGCTGACTTTTCCCATGCTGAACGGAAAACCAGGATCCCTGCTAATGACTCAAATCCAATCAATTAAAGAAAACGAAAAAACTCAGTTAACTCTTTACACAGACAATATGTTTAAAAAAATATTTTAATAAGCTTTTCCAGAATTGCAGACAGGGAGTGGGGCAGGATAAGGGAATTACTAACAGTGCAAAATTACTATGCGTGAAAAAAATGTATAAAAACTAATTTGTAAATTTTTTTTTCTTAAAATATCACTTCAAATCCTTTAAAAAGCTCAACAAAGGTTTGTTCTGTTGAACTGCATTTTCTGTTCAGGCTGCACTCTTAAAGCACTTCATGAAAACAAGACATTTGATCCAGCTGGATGCATCATGATAGGGCTTGAAAAAATATACACAAGTGTCTACATGCAAGTTGCTGTCTTTATGCAGTTTGGACACGAGTTCGTATGTTTTTCGGTTCCAAAACTGCACCGAATGTTTCTTGAACAAATTCAAAGTTACTATATTTCTAGAATTTTAAATAGTTCTAGTAGTGCAATGACTTATCAAGTTATAGTGGCTGCATTTTGAAGAACATGAACGAAATATTGTATAAAAAAAACACACCTGCATAAACAAAATGCAAATTATAATTAAATACTTCTTAAAGAATAGCTGAGCATTACATATTATTTGCTTATGGAATGTCAGGTCTCTTTCAGGTATACCATAAAGAGGTAAGATTAAAAACAAAGCAACATTTCTGAAAATATACACAGTGCCATATTTTACACACAAGCCTGAGACAATTTACTTATAAACTTTCCTATAAAAAATTCTGCAAGTATTTTCACCTTGCAAACAAAAATGTTTAATATAATAAATTGAAAATATGACTCTGATTGAAGTTGCAAAGATTTTGAAAAGCCCTGCACTACACTCCTTCTGAAACTTTCTAAGTGGCCGTCTTTTGATATAAGGCTTGGATTTCCATTAACCAACCAGATTTCCAAATTGACAATCTCTTTCTAAACCAATCGCTCCACAAGATTAATGCAGGCCATAGATTATATGTCTCTTACTTATGCCTCTCTGTATAAACTGCTATATACTTCTAGGTAGGTTAATGTCAGCTTGTCAACTCCTAATGCCAGCTGAGCCAGTAAAAACTTATCACCCAAATTTGGGGCGTGGGGGGGGGGGGGAAGATGATGACAAATGGGCTAATATCCAATATAAAAATCAATGGAGTCAAACCAGATTTTAATTTGGCTCTGAACTTGGGCTCCTGATCATTAACAAAAAAGCAAAAGATTGACTTAGAAAAAACACATGACTTCAGTAATGTGATAATTAAGCTAGTTTAAAGACATGTGACCCTAAATTTCCAAAAGAACCTTGGAAGAGCAGCATATAAACTTATGAAGACTACTTTAACAGAAATAACAGTATGTTTGTAAAACCACAGGCATACAAGAAAACGGGTTTTAGATTACACAAACAGGACATTATTTCCTATGCTTTTTAAACCAGATTTTGTGCAGCTGTGGCTATAAAGGTACTGTAATATTTGTAAAATTACTACTTCACAGACAAACCTCCACCTCAAAGTCCAGACCTTTATTGGCAAGGCTAGTAAGAACAGAATTAGCATTCTCCCCTACGGACAAGGGTTTTACGTTCTAGCACCCTCTCAAATATAGTTACCAACACCTACCATTACCTCTTACATATATACATACACATATATATGTGCTGTACCAACTCTTTACACAGACACTGCACTGTTCCTGCTCCCACTGAAACCATCAACACACTTTCAGTGGTGCAAAAGCCAGGCCCATGGTAACCAGTTGTGTACTCATGCCTAACCTAGGCAACCAGATTAATTGATCCATTCCTTCTCTCTTCTGTGCACAATGAAATGTACGAGATGTATTAAAGATAAATCAATGATAATATAATACCTGACCTTAGCTAACAAGTTCTAGTATATTTAGGCATTTGGCTGACATTAAGCTTTTGTCTTAATCTCAAAAATAAACCTTGAAAATGTATAATAAAAGCAAGAGAATTTGTGCAATAAAAGCATCATGCTTATTCCAAAATTCTAAAAGTCACTGTGTGTCATAAGACAGAAATTTGAAATCAGATTCTCATAATTATATGACTATTAACCACCCTTATAACAATTTTAATCATTTACTGTTTTCCAAGAAGAAAACATGACTTGGTAATTACATAAACAAATTATTTTTGCGGTTTTTTTTTTTAGAAAAAGTCTGTAGCAAAATAAAATGAAGCTGACATTAGACTCAGAATATCACTTCTTTCATAAAAGTTTACCAACTATACAAGTTAAGAAAATTATACAAGCTTTTGTTTTAAGAAAGGACAGCTCAATCAAGACATAGGTACTGTAAAAATCTTTCAAAGGCTACAAAGAAATCTGGAAAAATACAGAATGTATTTCTTTAGCCCAGATAAGAATATGGAAAGACATCATTGATGTCAACAATTTTACATATGCAAACCGGACTTGGTTTATTATGTTTTAAAACTTCTATATATAAAAATAATTGTGCTCATAACTTTCAGGATTCATAGGGGTTCCTTAACAATTGGAAAACACTTCTCTTCGTTTAGAACATTTAACTCCACACCCATTTCAATACATCTTTTGGAATTCTAAATGTCACTATCCTCTTGTGACAATCTGTAATTCAATCCAGCTCTCCTCTTTAAAAAGTATAATTTGTATAGCAGAGCAAAGCTTAAGTAATTCTGCAGAAGAACGTGTATACGTTTCCTTGGCACATTAAGCTAGAAATGTGTTCACTATACACATACCATGACCGATTTATTTCTCAGATGTCTGATGGCAGTTATGCAGTTGCCAGACCTTTGTTAACAGTCAACAGCTCTGTGGACCAAAAAGTTCTCCTACAGCATGTCAGCATTGACAAATGAGTTATCAGATCTTAGGGGCCAAATGAAAGGTAAGAAAATCTCAACAGACTGTTGCCTGGAATTTGATTCTGTCAGGTAACCCATCAACCCTGAAAATTTTACACGTCCCAGAATTTACTCCAAGGAATAAAATCAGCTCCCATATTCAGTCATCCAATGTTCCCAGTTCTTCAAATTTCCCATGCGAGATTGTTTCTTGGAAACCTTCTGAAGAACCTGGACTTTCTTTTCCATTGCTGTTGATTCTTCTCCTCTTCACAGGTCTTTCGCCTTTTTCTTCAAAATCATTTTCATTTCTTGCTGTCGAATGAGCGAGTTTAGGGTCAGCAGAAAGGTTTTCTGTTTCATAACCATTTGTATCCAGATCTGTATGAGATGTCTTCTTGCCACTCATTGGTCCGTTTACATGCAATCCTTCCATTTTTATTTCATCCTTACTTGCTATCTCACCTGATCCATTGGTGGATACTCCTGCATTACAAAAGAAATTAAAATTAGATTTCTAAGCATCTGACAAGAGATAAGTAAAAGGAAAGTTTAACTGGTTTCCCAAACCCAAATGCTGATCTCAGATATTAATATCTTTAATGTGGAAAATTACCCACTGACTGGCATGCCAAGATGTCCACTCCTGAAAGCCTGTGTAAGCTACAGCAGGTATACAGATGTAAGAACATCCTACAGAATATAGTAATACCACAATTTTTCTAGACAATTAAACTTCACACAGCTTTATACAATAAATCTACTTTGGATATATGTAGGTAAAGGACAGTGACTGGAAAAATGAGAAAAATACACCAATCCTCTGGGTTTGAGAGGCTGTCAAGTCCATCCTACGTGCTGCAGATGACCTGACAATCAGTGTTGCGTTGCCATGTTGCAGTGGAATCCTACTATAATTTTCCTCACTTCTTCTCAAATGTTACTTAGCAGGGGATGTAATGACAACTTGATTTCTCTAACTTCCCATAGCTTAATGCAGTCTAAGACTCAGCAAAGAATTTTTAACCATGAGTCATTGATAACCTGAATTTAAAATGTACTTTATGATGAAAAATTGTGTCATGTTGTCTGTTGCAGGATTCCAGATCAAACATATGCTATTTATTAGGGCTGTGCGAAATGGCATCATTCCGTTTTGCCTTGAGTTTTGACAGAACAGTGTTTCGTCTCGAATTCCATTTTGAGTTGAAACAGCTGTTCCATTGCGTTGAAACAGAAAAGCTGTTTCGACGCCGTTTTGAGTTTTGCTGGGGAGTGCTACCACCTTTTTGTGGCCCAGTAGTTGATACAATAGCCTTGAATGTCACAGATGCATGCTAAATGTCCTTTTTTGCCTCAGGGTACTCAAACCACATCTCCCCAAAATTATGTAAGCTGCCCTGGGATGGGGGCACTTTCTATCCTACCTGTTGAACATGTTCTATTCTGGAGAAAATAATTTAAAATTCAGTGGGCCAGACAGAGACAAGAAACATAGGTTTGTACCCTAGTGGTTAAGGACGCTCATAAGGACAGGGGAATCTTGGGTTCTGGCTCCTGGTTTGTGGATGGCTTATGCGTATATACATATGTTATACCAGGTGTGTTATAGATATGGCCTACAGAGCTGTATCATTGAGTCCCTGGGGCTTCTGGAGAGGCTGGCAATTCAGGTGTGCGGTATACCACCAAATTCCACTATAAAGAACCCCACTCAAGATAAATCTTGGAGCAGAGACTGGAAATGAGGCCTGTGCCTCCCTCTCTCAGACTAGGTCTTGCTTTCCCAATGCATCTTCAATTCTTTTCTGCACAACAGAACAAACTCAACAGGAAGGATGGTGAGTGCTCCAACCCCTGAACTGACTACAGAAAGGTTGTTATGGCCCTCTGCACTCTCCCGAAATGTGGGCCTGAATTCCCTTGAGTTGAAGAAGGCGTTTCAGCAACATCACTTACATCCTGGCCAAGTGCTCTGACCACTAAAATACTGTATCTAAGTGGGCCCCTCCTCTGTGTTTTAGATGAAAAAGGCACCACTGAATGTTATGTGGGAGTTAAATCCGGCGCGTGTGGTAGGCATGTTTTGAGACCTGCCTGACTGAGCCTCCCAGAGGACTTAGGTAGGTAACATTTAGTTCATGCAGCCAGAATGGTCTTAGTTGAGTTGTAAGACAGTTGCCAACATTCTTATCTCTGTCAAGACTGGACACATGCACAACTTTAAAGTAAAAAAGTTCCAAGCACTTATGATGTTTAGGTACTGCTATGGTTAGGCACCAGCTGAGCAGAAATTTTCAAGATTGTAATTTTGGACGGAAGCATCTAAAATTCTGCTCAAGTATTTTTTGTAAACAGCGTTGAGTGTTAAGCTGGCTTCTTCTTTTTTTTGTACATTACCCATAGGCCAAACCATGCCTTCAGATACATCGATGCATGTATATGCTTTTCAGTGATAATCATTAAAGCCTGGGGTTGCTTCACTGACAGTCAGGCTTTGAAATTTAGCTAGTAATTCTGTTGATAGTACACAAGGAGGTTTACCAATCAGCTCTGAGGTTCAGCTCATCTCAACGTGTGTCAAAACTGGCCCACAAAATTGAACAACTCCATAGGATTCTGTATATAAATGTGTAAAATATTTGCTATTTAATGCTGAGTTAGGCATTGTATTCATTACGTATACAATCAAAACTGAGCATTAATTTAATAAATAATAACCTTTTAGGTTTTTATGCTTTATTGTTTGTTGTTAAGGACTAGATGAATATAAAACTTTGGTAAAAGAGGAGACATGTTTATGAATCTAAAACCAACATATATTAATCAGAAGCATTTTAACCATTTAGGGGCATCTCACAAGTGCAGCTATGCTCCTGGAATGCTACCAGCATCAGCTTGCATTTCTACTTTGTGCCTTGTATTTGCTAGGTTTCCTGTTTTAAAAACATCTGAAGAGTGAAGGTTGTATTTTACCATGCAGACAAACTCTCTCTGGTTTCCCATGGGCACAGAGCACTTTACTCATCATCCTGGCAGTTTCCCTCCTGATTAAAATGATTAACAAGTTGCATCCTCCAAATCCTTTCCCTTCTGTTTGTGCCTCCATTACTCATTTGGAAAGAGTTGTTTCTGCTCTTTCCAAAATAGTCTTCCATCTGGACCTGGTCTGGCTCTGACACTGCCAACAGCCCTCCTAGGTCCAAAAACTTAAAAGCAGAGCAGATTAGCTAACTTTGTTTCTCATGCCATCTGGAGATGCATTAAGTTGTGCATGTCAATTGGTCCTGATCCTACAAAGATTTATGCACATGTTTAGCTACTGTAGTAAATGGAACTACTCAGACTTAGAATTAGCCTGGAAGATTTAAAACAGTTAAAAGGAAAAAAAATAGCGGATACTGTGAACTGTTTTATATTTAAATTAACATACAAACAGGTAGGTTTTTAATTGTGCAACTTGCTGATGCTCACCAGAACCACTTGGAAAGGAACTAATGTCAAGCAGTTGCTCTGTTTTGGTTACACACACACCATTTCTCTTACAGTTTTTCAGTGCATTTCTGAGACTGTCACTAAGATTCATCAACTTCTTTTTGGAATGAGAGAGAGAAAAAGAAATTGGAATTTATTACCATTTTGATTACTGTTGCTGGTTGTGCTGTCCTCCCTTTCAGACTGGCTGGTGCTGCTGTTAGACGCTGTAGGGGGAGGGGACGGAGCTCGACTGGAAGCAGCGCTTTCACTTTCATCCAGAAGACGGTCCATGTAATCCCTAAAACCAGAAACACCACATTCAGCAATGACTTTTTCCTTTTTAGAGGGAAAGTTGTATGCATGCTCAATATACTGTCTACAAACAGTTAGACTTGCATACAGTCAATAACATTTTAAGACCCATTTGATGCATTTAGCTTTTATCTTATCTGTTCCTTTTATAGTTTCCTTATGCTACCTAGTTCTCCCGTTGCCTGCACATATACTGACAATCAGTGGGATGAGTTACCACCTCCATGTTGCTCTTTGCTGAGAGTTGGGAAGATGATGCTCTATAGCAGTGGTCAGCAATCTATGGCCTGTGGGCTAGATCTGGCCTGGAAATGGCCAATCAGATCTGCATTTTACTAAGGATATGCCAATTCCCCAAGTGTCTGACCTGGTCCACATTTTGCTAATGGAGTGCCAATTGCCTCAGCAACTCCAGCCAAAACCCACATGGAGGCTGCTCTCTCTCATTGCAGCCTCAACAATAAGATGTTGTGTGCTGCAAGCTGCAGCACATATTTGCAAAAGGTTGCGAACCCCCACTCTAAGGAATCGTGATAACGAAGTTCCTTGAAATCCCAGCATTTTAGTGGCAATGCCACTGAATACCAAGCAATCAGTTATCTGTATTACTAAGAGCAAATTCTGTGCACATGCATTTTTGAAAGGTGGAGGCAGAACAGTAAATTAGTGTGGAATCTGAATCAGAACATGAATATATTTTTGCTATAACTGTACATATTAGGTTTCATGTTTAAATCTCACATAAAGTTTTGCTAAAAACAGAACTGATTAGCTGAGCAAAGTAAGGTCTAAGTGTTTGTCCATACAAGGATTGGGTCCTAATTAACACTCGATAAACAGCTTTTGCTAGTATGTATCCTTCTCAGTTTGTCCACAAGTAACAATTAGAACATAACAGCTGCTGCCCTTTTGAAACATCCCCATTTGGAAACTGCTCCAAATGTATGTGTGTTGGTACCCAGAGGCAGCTTTGTGTTAAGTTTCACAGATAAGTTATGAAAACAAAGCAACCTTGCCAACAATGACAACCTGAAACCAAGGTCAAAAGACAACATGATGATAGCAAGCAACATTTTAAATAGTAAGGAAGGATGTAAGGAATCTTCTTTTCCAAAACTGTAATTTTCCCACAGATCTAAATCACATTAAAATTGACACCTTCCAAGTGCATACTGGTTGACAAATCCAAAAAGACTTGTTGCTAGTCTTCATGCCACCCTGGTCCCCCCTCCTGAGTCTCCTAGGAGGGATCAATGAAAATATATACTACACTGCGTAGCTTGACAGACACTATGTAAGTGTTTATTCTTTGCTTTTGGGTGTAAGCAATAAGACTGTACTGCCTCAATAACCAATACCTGCAATCCAGGTAACCACCCTTGGTACCATCAGTGTGATCTGCCTCCAGAACCAAGAAAGCATGTAAGCCTCTATTCGAATACTGAAGAGCATTTAAAATTAAAAGAAGTAAATAAAAGGGTGTTGCCTATATATACATGCTATTTTCAGTCTCTCTTTCTTTCAACATTAGGTGAACAAAGCTACAATTGCAAGGAAGGCTTGCTGGAACAGCAAATTTAAAGAAAATATTGCAGAATAATTGCATAAAACATCTGAAATTTGTGACTGATGAATTTGCATAAAACCCCCATGAAACATTAAAAAAAAAAATAGAAATTGTGATTCAGACAATTTACAAACAGAAAGCAGGCTTCACTAAATGAGTAACTGTTAAAGCAATCAGTTAGTCTAACTAAAATGTTATATATATATTTTTAGCAATTACAGTATGTGCAATATTATTCATCTTTTCCTTTGGCTGCTGGCCTACTGGAAATTGAAATTATGAAAATCATTAAATCCATTTTCACAGAAAGCAATATCAAGAGGTGATACAGATATGACATGCATTTAAAAAAAATAAATATAAGGGATTTCTTACGTTACACCAGGGTGAAGATTGTATTTCTTCTTCCCAAACCGGGTCTGCTGTGCAAAGAAGTCATACCGCTCCGATTTTTTCCACATGTAATAAAATGCAACACACTCGCCAACTGATCTTGTTCGTACCTATGAAAGGTCATATAAGCATTAATGAGATAATTAACACTTTCAGAGGTTGCACATACATTGCATGACTTTGAGAGGTTCAAAGTATACTGTGATATTTTCCTTTAAGATATTTAAAATTTATGGCGAGAGAAGATATGAAAAAGTTCATAAAATAATGAATGGCACAGAGATGTACCTCAGATCTGATCTGGTATGGGAGTTCTTGTGTTAATATGATTTACCTTTTCTTAGTCTAAATCAGAAATAATCTGTGAGTTACTGTCCCCAAGTAAACTAAGTGCCAAATTCAGTTTTTGGCAAGCAAAACAAGCAGCAAGTTAAAACTGGAAAAGAGTACTTCTCACAAAAGCACCTTTGAACTCCAGTGCTAAATCATGTAGGCAAAAAGTTCTGCTGCATGTCCATAACCACACATTTTTAATGCCTCATTTGGTATAAGAAACAAAGGGTACAGACTAGGTGGAAAAGATGTCAGAAGCAATGTCACTGGTATAATGAACTGATTGATGCACTTATGCCAAATTGAGGAATAGTATTTCATCAATGAGCTGAAATAAGCCCAGTGGAGACATGTGATGCAGGAAGAACAAGCAGAAATGAGTAAAGGAGGAACAGGCAGTGCACTAATACTAAGGATGCCTCAAAATTGGATTCTATTAGAAAAAAAATTATTTCTGGACCAGCCCTCAGAATCATAGAAAACTGGGGTTGGAAGAGATCTCAGGTCAACCCCCTGCTCAAAGCAAGACCATACACCACAACCTCTCTGGGTAACCTGTTCCAGCGTTTCTCCTTGTGAGAAAGTTTTCCTTGATATCCAACCTAAACTTCCCTTGCTGCAACTTGAGACCATGATTCCTTGTTCTGTTAATGTTCATGCCATTAGGTTATACAATGGAAGCTATGTCTAAGAAGCTAGGGCAAATACTCAGCTGGCATAAAACAACACAGTATCATAGGAAAGTAAGGCTGGAAAGGACTTCATAAGGTCATCTAGTCAGCCCCTCAAGGCAGGATCACCCCCAACTAAACCAATCCAGCCAAGTGTCCACCGAACCTGCTCTTGAACATTCCCGAAGACAGAGAATCCACAGCCTCACTAAGTAGGTTGTTCTAATACTTGATTATCTCTTATAGTCAGAAAGTTCCTGCTAATCTCCAACCTAAATTTCCTCTGCTGTAGTTGGAGGCTATTGCTTCTAGTCCTGCCCATTTCCTACAAGCACAAAAAAGGCTAATTGCCATCCTCTGTAATAAATTGCTCTTTAGATACTTTAAGACTGTTATAAAACTGCCCTCAGCCTTCTCTTCATTCTAAGAAACCCCAATTCTTTCAGCCTTTCCTCTTTCAGTCTTGCCTTCTAGGCTTTTAATAACTGTTGTTGTACATACATTCCACTGACTTCCATTTTATATTAGCTGAGGATCTGCCTCAGAACCTGCAGATGGAAGTGACAAAATGGGTTCAAAAGCAGCAGAAAGCATATTTCAAGTTCTCTTCTTAATGGATTTGCTTAGTCTCTGACAGCACCAACTGGTGAAAAATGCAGAACCACCAAAATGAATTTCCCTGCAAACCACTGATGTAAACTTTTGTTACTCATTAGTGAGAAACTCTGCCTGTATTTTCTTTCACTAACGGGATTTAAAACTATTTCCATAGCCTCTAACTTCTTCCTGACTCAGATTCTCAGAGTACACACTCAATTCCTTGAAGTTCAATTTAAATATGTATTTTTTTTTAGTTTAATTAGTAAGATTATAATAAATTTCAGCCTATTTGTTAATAATAGATTTCTTTGTTCAACAAGCCATTTTAGGATTTTGTATAACTAAAGCTTTAGATTTCAATTTGTTCTTCCATACAATGCAAAGCCAGGCAGCTAAAGCAACCAACCCCTTCTGACAGATCAAGATATGTCACAATGAATCAACAGTCTCTGATGTGGAGAAAATCACAAATGTAAGCATCTACACAGAATTTTCTTGCGTACCCATGCCCTCAAATAAAACACCAGTCTTGTTTCTGGAGAGGCAGAATGGAAAAAAAAATTCTTCTTGAGTTATGGCTGCATAAAGCAGGGACAGAATCTAAATCTTCAGCTCACTTACCTTCCCTTATCTGCTTAACTAAAAGCTTTAACCCTTGAAGCTGCTTAAGACTGGTTTTCAGGTGTGGCTCTATAGTCTGAAAAGAGCTAAAAAGAGTCTGAAAAGCTCCTATTTAGAAATAGTAGAAAAGACACCAGAGGTAGCTAAAGACAGCAAAACTGGCTTGATTAGTAGGACATAAAGACTATTAAGAAGAGATAATTATTAATACCAGTGGAGTGAAGACCAATGAGCCATTATGTCAGCTGATTCCTTAAGCTGCCTGAATAAAAGTGTCACTGCTGCAGTGAGTAGGAATAAAAGCTGGAGCAGAATTCAGAGTGGGGAACCTCTATTCCAGTCAGAAATATGCAGTTTCCCTGTTTAAGATATGCACTCCAATCTGCAGGGGCTGATTTTTTAGGGGAAGGTATGTGAGTAAATATTGTATCGGAGATTGTTTGTGTTGTATATGAGCAAATAAAGTATTTCCCCTGACTTCAGCTACAATAATGTAGGTAGAGTACATTTTTATTAATCATCCTCACCTTGTTTGCCTGAATCAAGTGAAAATCTTTTCCATATGCCTTTAGTCCTTGTTCAAAATTTCTACATTCTTCTTCTGTCCAAACAGATAACTCTTCTGAAATAAGGAATATAAACACAGAAAACACACTTTAAAGTAACATTATAAAGAAGAAAAAGGAAAATCAAGCGGCCAAACCAAAAAAAAGCCACTAAATATTTACCATATTTATTCAATTAAAAGCCTATGTTTCTTCCACATTTACCATGGAGGAAAAAGCCCCTTATCTTATGATCAAGTATGAGGTGGCTCAGTGCTGGAGCTGCAACTGCTGCCTGCTCTCTACCACCTCTGCAAACCCCTGCTGCTCCTCCCCTGCAGCCCTGGGCCTCTGCCACACTCAGACTCCCCTCTGGGTTGCTTTTCTTCCTTTCCTTCCCTATCCCCCCTACCCTCCCACTGCACCCCCCTTCCCTTTGCTCCAGTGTCAGCAGGCTCTGTCCTTGATGCAGCTTGGGACACAGGGCACGTCCTGTCCCTGGACTGGCCCTGTAGCAGCAGTGCTGTCTCTGCATCACGGCTAGGGGGCTGGGCTGGATCTGTGTTCAATGCCCCAGGCTGCAGTGGGGCAGTGTCATAGCAAAGGTAAGGGGAGTAGAGGAGCAAGTGGGGGGTAGAGACTTTGGGAGGGGGAAGTAGGGGGAGAAGGGAACCTGGGGCCGCAGGGGCAGAAGCAGTGCGGAGAGGCGAAGGGCAGGGATGGAAGGCAGGGACCTTAGGCTGTGGGGAAGGGGGATATGGGGAGGACGACAGGTGGCAGGGGCAAACTGCATGCCTCCCCCACCACCTCCACACTGCCTGCCTTCACCGCCTGCCCCACTACTGCCTTGTCCATCACCTGTCCTTTACTGCCTCTCCCATTACTGGCCCCCTACCATCTGCTCCCCCTGCTCTCTGCCCTGCCACTGCTCCCCTCATTGCCTCCTTCACCTCCTGCGGGGGGGGGGGGGGGGAGAAGATGAGTTTAAGACAATCCTCCAGTAATTAAATTCTATACATGGAAAATTATACTAAGCTTACACATTTTGCATGGGTAAATACAGTAACTTTCTAAACCACAAGCCAATTAGTTAACAACAGCCACCAGAAATTCAACGTATTAGCATGAAAATAGAAAAGAAGAGCAAATTTTGTCTGAAGCAGCAAGAGACCATTTACAAAGGGTAAAGGACAGATATGCTGACAAATGAAAATGATTTCGCTACTCTAGCAGATGCAACAAACAGCATTTATAGATAATTAAGCCTCATCTACACAAGAGATATTTTTCAAACATGGAAAAATAAAACACTGATTCAGCTTCTTTAGTGTTAGCAACATTGACAGCCTACGTGAAGATAGCCTACTGTCTGCTGTTACCATTTTTAATACTGTGATCTGAACTTACTCAGAGAATGCCTAAGCAACTTGGTGAGTTAAATGTGCATGTTCAGTGATCTGCCTATTTAAGAGCTGCCAATGCGAGGAACTGGTATTAGCAGTGATTGGGAACCTGTGGGAATGAATGGCATATATTTATCATAACTCTTGTGATAATCTGAACTCCAACAGATGGTGTTATCTATACCAGGGGTTTTCAACCTTGGTCATTGTACTCACAAGTGGACGGACATGTAGCAGCGTACCCTGGCCACCAAGGTTGGGGAGGGCGGTGCATGGCCAGATACCAAGTGTGGGGGAGCAAGGCATGCAGTTGGATGCGGAACGGCAGCAGCTGCTGCATGCAAGCTTCCCCTGCCCTTCCCCCACATCCAGCCGTGCACCCCTGTGGGGCAGGGGAAGCTTGCACGCGGCAGCTGTCTGCTTGTACTGCGCAAGGCCTGCTCAAGTACCCCCAGGGGTACGCGTACCCCTGGTTGACAACCCCTGATCTATACTAACAGCTGAATTGGTTTTCAGCATCATTTGAGGGCAGGAGTAAGATAGTGAGTTCCATCATTATGGGCAAATAGGACTATACTTCAGGGGTTAAACCCTGCCCCACATAAGATCAACCTGATAAAAAGTTTAACCAAAAAAATATTTGTCAAGAAAGGACAGTAAGAGACTTGGATCTATGTCTACTCTGATAAATGTGGGATGTTTGATCCCAGGGACCAGTCAGGCTTTTCATATCAAGGGATGAGACATCTTAGCAAAGCTCTCACTGACTAGAAATCAGAATTTCACTCTAAGTTTTGAACATAATTTAAATCTCATCTATACCTGAGAGTCACTATCAAAAAGGGTTGAAAAGGGGGCGGGGAAACTGTTAAGCCATGCTTTCAGAGTGATCATTTTCTTGTACAGACAGGTCTAGAGTTCTAATCTTTGTCCCCAAGGCAAAAGATAGAAGACTTAGAAGCACAGTAGACAGGGAATAAGAATAGATGAGCACCTAAGGGAAGCTTATCAAACAGGAAAAACTAAGAGAGATGAAAAGGAAAGATCAAAATAAGGATTCTCTCACCCCCCCCCCAATACTCCAAAAGTATCTTCTGGAAAATTTAGGCTAATTTAATGTTGGAATCTTTTCTAGCTAAAAGATTTAGACATCCAATCTTCTTTACTTAGAATTCTGAATTCTTACACACTTCCATGCTCTTTACTTCAATGATTGAATTTAAAATGTCTAGAGGATTGAATACAAAGAAAAGCTATGTATAATTCATCATTTAGTTGGGTGCACAAAATTATTTTAAATTTTTAGAAGTAACAAAAATACCAGGTTTTTATTCTGGTTTATTTTATATCACATTCTTATCTGTGTATTACTAATTAGGCATTTTTATTATTCCTATTACTTCCCCCAACGATATCTCATTTTGTTCCTCACCTTTTGGAAACAGAACATCTAACTGACCTAATTAAATGGTTGCATTTTATGAATCCTTATTTTCATGTTCATAAATCATTTAATTCCTGAATGTGGGAAGAGGCATACAAGTGCTATGTTATGCTTACACCTAGTTGGTAATGGAAACAGAACTATCTAACTGTTTTTAAACAAATTAAAAAGGTGCATGCCATTTTGCAAAAAAGTATAAATTAAAAATCAGTGTATGCTTACCTCTGGCTGCTTTTACATTAAATCGTAATCTGCGCAATGATTCTTCTGTATCAAAATTGCACTTAACCAACTCATACAATGCCTGAAAAGGTAAAATAAATAAATAAATAAACACACACATTTAATACTTGAATTCACATCTTACTGAATTTGCTCTCTCAGAATAAGTCAAATTACTCCAAGAGTCAAATAGAAAGAAACATTTAAGTTTTTTTTTAGGCTTTAAGGTTTTCAAACAGATTATATTTATTTGCCTTTTTTTTTTTAAAAAAAAGCACGTCTCCCTCTAATTATATATCATACAGTAGACTTACAAATGAAGACAACAATTAAGTTATACACCTATTTCTTAGCACAAATTTTTCTACATAATTTCATGTTTTAAAATATTGTACACTAGTGCTGTGCTCTTGTGTCCCGGCCCCACTACAAAACTGGCTTATATTTTTGTATGAATATAGAGACAAATTTTTATGACTGACCCTTAAGTAACAGATGTCTGGGAAGATGCATAAGCTTAAGCCTGTTCTATGGGGATGCAGAGATGATGAATTCTAATATCCCAGTGCAGGTTCATATATGGCTAATTATAAAGATGACTAAATGTTATGATACCATATATTCTTAGAATTAAATAATTTGCAAGACCAATAATGTTCCTGTGCTTCAACATATATAGGCACATTACTTCATGAATAAATCTTGCAACATAAGCACATTAGCAAGACATACCATTTTTTTAAACACGAGAATACGGATTTATGCACACCTCAAAGGATAATGAATTCACACATATGTCAAATCTCCACTCTTTTAATCAGGGAAGGAGAGAAGTTGGACTGTAGATACTCAAACATAAAAACTTCTATAGTAGACTGCAGGCCTTTACAGGTAAAGCCATTTCTTAATGCAATAGATCATTTCAAAGCCTGAATATGCACATTAATGTTTCGGTTCTTAAAGATTTGCCTTCAGTGCAGAAAAAAAATCAATTTGTTTAATGGGAATAAAAGAAAACAAGCTATTCCAAAATCAGATTCTGAGAAAGTATAAATAAATGGGAGAGTTACAATATAACTCGTACAAGAGGCATGTCTGATTTTTCTTCTTCTGTGCTTCTTTAGACCTAACGAAGAATGCCTGGCATTCAAAGACTTGTCTAACTTTATCCCAACCATACAGTTTGTCCAATAAGAGATCTCCCAAAATAAATCCTTGCCTCTTGAATAATTCTTGGACCATCACAGTGACAACATTACTCCAACACTACCAATATAACTTTTAAGATGTACTATTCCAGCAATGCTTAGGTACCTGCTCATTGTCTTTAATATGTGATCCTTCAGGAATTGCATCTAGTCCTTTCTCATCACCTGTACGCCTGGAGGCTTCATTGAGGAATTCAATCACTTTATCTTCTGATAAATGATCAGGATTCCACAGAAGCTGGTCATCATTTTCATACACTAAGGGAAATCATAAAATACTTAAACAAAAAGTCCAACTTGTACTCAGTCCTAAAAATGGATACAAAAATTGGAAACACTGACACTGCTAGCTAAGAAAGTTTGTAAAACAGCTGAAATTATGGACACGTGACAAGTGGAACAATCTGACTGACCAGCATACTGTACATTAGGTTCCTTTGAAATATCTGGTATTATCAATGCTATAGCTGAAAAACCAAAAACAATCCCCTCCACCATCTGCCCTTGAAACTATGAAATAGGAGTTTCCAACTGCCAATCATCTCTCTTTCCAGACTGCCTTAATCTAAACACCATAAAAGAGTAGTTATTTCTCAACAAACAGCTCAAGAGCTTTCAGGGCCATTACAGACTGAGATTAGTAGACCCACTCCTTCAGTCAATGTATCAGATACCTGATGCAAGCTCCAGTTAAAGTACAGGTACTAAATTTCTGACATTCAGGGTGCGTCTACATGTGCCAATTTAAGGCACGTTAGCCATTTTAAAGGTGAATTAAGGGTATGGGTCTGCACATACGTGCCCTTAATGTGCCTTAGAAATGGCAATTTTAGGGTATTCGTGCCTAAATTTGATACCTGCAAAAGCTGGTATCAAATTTAGGTGCCAATAGCTAAAGCATCTTAATACACATGTAGATGTGCTAAGGCGCATTAACACTGAGTATGTCAACTGACTTGGGACCAACTTTAGTCCCAAGTCGGTCTGCACACTGCATTAATGCACCTTAGTGTGTGTACGTGTAGACACATGCCTAAATTGCCATAATCATAGGCGACTGGTAGGAGGGATGGAGGGGGGACATGCCCCCCCTCACAGGGCTGCTGCTGCCAGACTCAGGAAGCACCAGTCGTCCATGAACATAATGCACATTAGACAAATGCACATTAAGTTTAAGTGTGCGTAAAAGCATGTGTAGACACTCCCTGAAAGATTATCAGAAACTTTATCAGCAACTAACACTGCCCCCTTCCTTGGTAAAAATCACCAAGACGGAGTGAACCAACAGTACCAAATATGCTGGTTTCTCTGGTCAAGTTTTAGTTCTTGGTGATACCAAAACATAGTTGAGGAACATGGATAAATTAAAACCAATGTCTCTCAACTGTTGAATACAGAACACAAAATAGTGCTGATGCTCACACAAAGCATAGCAACATTCTTTCCTTCCTTCCTCTTAAGGCCCAGAGATTCAGGATAGGAAACTGCTCTTCTCATCAGTCCTCACAGGGAAAAGCATTCAGTTTCTCACTGAACGAGACGTGATATCATTAGGGTATGATAGCACATAGCAAAGCATAGCTCTAACACCACTAAGACAAAAGAACTTCACATCTAGGAGTCAACATGCCACTGTCTAGAAGATATAGACCCTGAGGGAAATCAGCATGTGAGTGAAGGGCAGTTATCTCAAGCAAGACAGAGAGGATGGCTGAGACACTGACATCAGTCTCCCAGCTGATCACAAAGGCTATGCAGTATTGCAATCATAACACTGCTGATTCGAATCACATCATGTAGGCCTATTTTTCACTAGCCAAAAGATAGTATCCCTTTTCAGGAATAAGGTCATACTTGGTGTGAGCTACCTTTTTATGACTTTACTATATGAGGCTGGCACTGTAAATGCCAGAAGCACACTTGTACATGTACAACATACAAAAGCTACAAGTCCTACACTCACTTCCAAATCCACCCCTCCTGAACTTCAAAGGGCTGTCTGAACTGTGAAAACGACATTACTAAAAATGACATGGTATGGTCTTATGTTGGTCCCTCAACTGATTTCCACATAAGAGCTTTTCAGTTTATAGGTAGTAAGATGGTTTTCCAACTAACAGTCCTGCAAACTCAAGCTGCAAGTTTTATATCACGCATGGGTGACTGGTGCCGCCTGGCTCAGGGGGGCACCTGCAGCTGATCGCCAAGGGGGGTGGGGGGTGCCCAGCAGCCAATCGCCGACCCCGAAAGCGTCAGCGACAAACCGGAAGTGCCACTGGTGCATGTGCCCCCCATGCCTTCCCATGTGTC